TATAGTATCAATTTACACAGTACAATAAAATTACTTCAAATAGAATAGGAACCGTGAAGTGCAATACAGTGTCATAATGGACAAGCATCTTAAGTAAAGCTGTAAGCTAAATTACACTTAATTATTGAGTGTAAGTAATAATATTTAAGAATATTATTTATAGTTTTGCGCATAATTATAAATTCGTAGTTTCCAATATACAGGGTGAAATTTTGTGAGATGATACCATCCATCCATATGAAACATTTTTACTTTTATCTTGTGAAATCGCTTAAATAAATTAAGTAAATCAAAAAGACACGTGTGTTTATATTCCTACTGCGTTACAATTGAAAAAGAGCTATTGAAATGCATTTGGACTCGCATGTTGGCAGTTTTGATATTACAACTTCAATCATCCACATTGTTTCTAGCTGTCTACCTTTTGGCTAAGAAACTTACACTACCAGAAAAAATAGATTTCTCACGGAAGGCGTTACGGCAAGTAAGTCAATAAAAACCTAAAACCATGATCTACCAGAAGCACATAGAAAAATTCACAACTTTTACTAATTCGTTCCGTGGCTTAGTTGGCACAGCGTCTGACACGGTTTGCTGGAAGACATTGGTTCGAATGTAGCCGGATTGAAGGAATTTTTGTAAGTGTTCGATCTTTGTATTAATAATTATAAGAAACCAGTGGAGTAATTTCACAAAAAGAATTGAATGTCATGGCGATCAAACATCGTGACATTGAATAAAAAACTTAAAAAATGAAACTTACACTACCTCTAGTATTTGAAGACAACTCCAAATTTCTATGTCTGAAGCAATATTATAAACGTTCTATCTATCTACCTGCACGATATAAAAAACGAGGTCCCAAGGTCAATTTCTATTATAAATTTTCATATTAATGGTGCTATCATCTGTTAAAGTAAATGACGTTAATAATATATAACCTCATATATTTTTTATGAGTAATAATTATGCGTAGAAATGCTATTATTTATGATATATTATATTATTTATTACATATTATATTTCATATTGCTTATAATATATATATATATATATATATATATATCACTCGTCTGCCTTACATAGAGCTAATAATAAATGAGGCTACGGCAATATTGGTGTTATTACAGTCAATACAGCTTAGATGGACAAAGATCTTAAATTAATAATCTTAGGCTCTATGCACGTATATTGTCATATATGTCATATATGAAAATATACATTTTCACTCTAGTAGTACTTTCGACGCATGGCAACGTTTGATTGAGAGTAAACTACCGTTTTCAAGGTCTAAAGGTTTGTAAGACAGTGTATAAAACAGTTTTCTTGTATATTAACTTGATTTAATATCACGGTATTTTACTACCATGACATTAAATTATTTTTTGTGAAATTACTCTACTACTTTCATTATTAATACAAAGATCGGACACTAAGAAAAATTCCTTCGATCCGGGTGGAATCGAACCAGCGCCTTCAGCATACCGTGTCTGACTGAATCCACCCGGATCGAAGGAATTTTTCTTAGTGTTCGATCTTAGTACTAATAATTATTATTGTAATAAACTAGTGAAGTAATTTCACAAAAATAATTGAGTTTTCCTGTATGTTAAGGTTGTCGGATATTTCCAGACTCAGTTAAAATACCATTTCTATACCGCATGACATGAGAGGCAACGTGCTTCGTGCGAATGGATGATATAATTATATGAACGACATAAGGATGGAGAGTTCCGGGATTTCTGGTAGAATGTATAGGTCATACCAAGGACCATTAACTCAAGAGTCGCGATACAAGATGTCGTAGACGGGTATTTAGTACATCGGTACATCAGATGTCGCGATGAGTACCAAATAGCTATTTTGATTTTAGTGACTAATTTGTTAACATCTCGACTTCGTAGGTATTCGCGATTGTTACACATAGGAAATGTAATGAAATAAAAATAGTCAACCGTGACCATCGGACCTGTAAAGGGCCCGAACCGTTGGTTTGTTTGAAAAAACAAATACACGCGATTTAAATACAGAAAAATAGTTTCATTTTCTATGTGTAAATTTATCAAAGCTATTCTGATTTCTAGTAATAACAAACAAATCAAGATTTTTATGGATAATGCGGGCTATATTATTTTGTTTAGGATCAACGCCATCTACCCATATTAAGAGGCGTTAATTTATAAATTGGTTTGTAACATACAATGCCATCTATTGACACGCATATTCGTTATAAGTTTAGAAAATAATGTTAGGTCATGATCAATATTTGAATAATATAACAAGGAGTACAACTAACTTCTTAAATTTCATATTAAAGAGGAATTAAATGATGGTCAAGGCCATTTACACAGAGTATGTCCAGGCTATCGAACAGCGCCATCTACATGTAGGACTGAATTTTGACCTTTTCCAGGTAGTAGGTATGGGGATTAGCTGCCCTATTGAGTTATTGATCCATCCATGATAACATCTGTAATGTTTAGTATGAATGCTAGCCTGTAATGCGTAAGCGTTACAACAATAAGCGTTTTTATAATGGATTGGTTATTCGTATCATTGGTACAATAAAGTCACATGTAATCCGTTAAAAGTGCTTTTATCACATTAGCCTTCAAAATGAATTGACGACCTCGGTGGTCCAACTGTGCTGTGGGCGCTGGATGAAGAGATCCCGGGTTCGATTCCCGGTATGTCCAAATATGTACTTTTCTAAATTTGTTTCGGTCTGGATGTTCTGGGAAGTGCCGGAGTAAATTCCGTTCCTCGGGAGATTTTTTTTTAATAGGGAAGCCCTGTGTCCTGGGTGCCATTGACACACACATAGACAACGACAAATTACACGCAAACTCACTAGAGATATAAATGTAGGCAATACAAATTTATTTTTGTTTTTAATTTGTTTTATTTTATTTTTGTAATGAATGATTATAAATTTACTTAATTTTTAATATTTTCGTTTTGTTTTCATATTATTTTGATTATTTCATAATATTATTAATTCATAATTAATCCGTTAATTCTATTATTTCAATGAGCTGTGTGTAATTATATAATTTTTCTTTTTCTTTGCATAAGTTGTGTACATCTTTAAATAAATCGAAAGAGATTGTGTTTTCTTCTGACGAACGTGGTTTTAGGGCGCCCACGCTGAAGTGCCGCGCCTCTGTACCGCTTCAGTAATTTCTAGTTTACTAACTGCGCCTGCAAAAGTTTGTGGTGCTGCAAATTGTACGAAAATTAGAAGTGGCGCGTTTGCAGCGCCACCGTGGCGCCACTGCTGTGCTATAAGCGTCGAATTTGAAGGCGCACTCAATGCCGTTGCAACTGCGCTTTTAAATTTTACGTTCTTTTATTTCGCGACACACGTCCGTCACACATCTTGGCTCAGGGCTCATTGAAAACCAGCGCCACAGTCAAGACCTCCTTTTCCAAAGAACTTCTTTTGCGTACGCCACTGCCACGCATATGACAGTACAAAATTTGTAGTCGTTATATTTATATTTCATATTTTGTTTTTTGCTTTTTGTCTGATTTGTCTTATTTTGTTGTTTTTCTTTATTGTATTCTTTAATTTGTTTATTAATTCTTTTTATTTTGTTTTGTTTGTCTGTGTTATCATTTTTTTGTATCTATGTGGTGTGGCGTTGCAATAAATGTCTATTTTATTCTAAATATTGTATGAAAATTAGTAGTGCTGCAGCGCCACTGCAGTGCTTCTACAAGTATCTAATTTGAATGCGCCCTAACGTGGAAAGCACCTTAGTTCTAAAGAGATAGTTAACAATGAGTATAAAATATAAATACATTAAGGCTGGCAGGTAAGCCTAGATATGTCTAGATAACTTTAAGTTTATAGAGAAAATTTGTACAAGTATAAATTATGGAACCATAACAACCACAAATATATTTGTTGTAGAAAAGCTGAGCACAATTTTTAATAGATGTTTTTAAGGTTTAGTAGTATAATTGAAAGTCAGCTTCTTTACGATATTACCGTATTTTCGCGAAAAATTTATTTCTCAGTATCAAAATACATCTAGATCACTGCTCATCATCAGTTCTTAATTCTTAGAGAATCTATGCGTAGCAACACTGTAGGAAGTATGTCTTGTAAAATTGTGTAATACATGATTACTGTCGTATTAAATACAGCCTCTAAGAAATTGAATAGTTTTTTCGTTAAAATACGGTATAAGTTATATTACGAGCACATAATTATGTTATGTTATTTTAAACAATGCAATGTTTACTACATACTTAGAACAACACCGTATGTCGTAGCTACTTAAAGAAAAAAATAAAATAAAAAGAAAACCCAATAATATAATGAAAATACATTTATTTCGAGCCATTTAGCGTAATCAAAAAGCAAGACTAGAGTTTGAGCGAAACCTAGTTGGATTTTTATTTTACGGCCTTTCATACGTTATTTCGGTAGTCAGGCAAACACACGTGTAAGTTCACACACACGTACGTGGTGTCTCACACACGTGGGGTAAGTGTCACACACTCAGTGTATCACACGTGCGCGGTGTAAATCATGCACAGCGGTGTCAGTCACACACACACACAGATATTCTCAATTATTTTATCTCTCGTTTATACACTGGAGAAGTGACAGAGATATAAAGATTTTTATTTGAAATAAGAACTAGAACGAGCCAAATATATTTTTTTAAGAAAGTCTTATCATTTTGTATCCGTTGTCTTTTTAACGGTTCGAAATTAAACTTAAATTTAATCACACTGAATGTCATACCAACCCGATGTTTTCATCATACATTTACTAAATTGACTAAAAAACTTTCCCACCGCAATACAAGATGTTACATTTATGCCATTTATTGTGGGAGACTAATGCCTAAATCAGGCTTGTGTTTAAAGACGTCAGGTCTCCTCCCACAGGAACATCAAATATTAATTGATAACTGAGTAACTTCTGTATTAAGCGCAGGCCACACCGCGAACGAAGCAAACTTAACTTAGCTCACGTAGCCGGGGCATCTATTCATACTTCGGTTCACACCGCGAACTAAGCTAACCGAAATAACTAAACTAACCCATTGATTCAGCTAAGCTGTGTAAAATATGTTGCCCTTCTGCCGCTCTTCACCCCCGCACGTATCCATAGTGTAACACGTCACTACTTACTACGTATTTTCCTTAGCTTAGTTGTGCATGCAGCTACGTGAACTAAGCGAAGTCAGCTTAGCTTCGTTCGCGGTGTGGCCTGTGTTTTATGAAGTTTTATTGTGGGAGATTTTTGCCTAAACCAGGCCAGTGTTTCATGACATCAATTCTCCTCATATTGGGAACATCAAATATTCATTGGTAACTAAGTAATACCTACGCTATAAAGTTTTATTCCGGGAGATTGTCTAAAACAGGCCCGTGTATTTTTAGGTCACCAGATCCTTTCTAAAGGATTATCCGATTACTTGACAACGTATACTCATCGTATACAATGTGGTGAGTTAATTTTATCCTAGAGCTTATTTTTTATGAATGTGTCAAAGTATAATGGAAAGCATTTTAAGGGTGGTATATTCTTGGACCAAAAGGATTTGTATCAGGTACATGTTCCTTAAGTGCTTGTGACTTCCAAACCGACCGTTATATTTATGCTAACTTTTAGGGTGAGGACAGACGAATGTAATTTTGCGAGTTGCATAATTTACGCTGCATTCGGTTTCAAACAAAAGTCCGGTTGTGAAAAAATTAGTTGTCTGCCGACTCGCATGCATAATTACAACTGAATCTCGGTCGCACCGTGGAACGTGCTATTGGATGCTTGTGAGTATATATAGCGAGTCCATTACACTATATGGCACAAACAACCCGTACAAACGCAACAAAGCAAGTGAATAAAATACGTTCATCTGGCGCCCCAGCAGCAGTGAATTTCAATCGAACGAAAACTACGTGACTCAAAAAACGCGACTCACAACTTACAAAATTGCGCTCGTGTGGCCTCACCTTTAAAAACCAAAACACGCCCGTCTCTTAAAATAAAAGAACAAGAGCGAAATAGCTATTACATCTAACATTAAAATTGCTCAGGTATATCGTGAGAGTTCTTTTCAGATAAGTCGTATGAACCAATCGATGTAGAAACAAATTTAAAAAGATCCATCCTGTTACTTTTGCTGTGGGTTGCGATATATACAGATGCTACTGATGCTATTAGGCTAGATAGCAGACTTATTGTGAATAGATCTATCGATATACAAAATCGATATTTTGATATCTCTATTTCTCCCCTACTAGAAATCTATAAACAATTGAACTAAGCATTACGCGTCTTTCTTCTTGCCCGACATTCTGTCGATGAGGTTCGTAATCATATCGGCATCCACTAGACCAATGAACTTATCCACTATAAGACCATTTCGGATCGCTATCACAGCTGGGACCGCTTTCACCTGGAAATTAACGTTTATTATTATAATCTTTTACAATAATATATAATAATGTTATTATATATAATGGGACAGGCGAGTCTGAAATGAATATCCATAATAGTAATCACAAATGCAAAAGGCGATCTTGCTTGATACGGCACGTACTGTTTGCTGGTTCTTGAACCTGAGTCAATTACTCGAAATATATACATTTTTTTTGTATGTATGTTACGCGATAACTCCGATGAACCGATTTTGATGATTATTTTTTTGTTGGAAAGAGGAAGTGGTCCTATTTAAATTCGAAGAAAATATTCCACCTCTAAGGGTGGCAAACTAGGGGACGAATGACGTTTGGGTCGCTTTTTTACTACTCTGTACTAAAAAAGCGACTGTACTCCTCTTCCCCATCTCTTGGTTGAGGAAATTGAGTACTTCAAATTATTACGCACGCAATGTAGTGAGGGAGTCATATAATTAGAATGTGCACTGTCGTGTGTGAGGTGTATACGTGTGCGTGCATGCGTGTTTAATGCGCTACAATCTTAAACACAGCAATTTATGGATTACAAATAAGTTACAGGTCATAAATACTTTAAAGCAAAACAATATTAATTAAGAATAATCTCAATAATTGTTTATCGTATATTATATTTATAATTGTTTATATATATCAATCAATAACGTATATTAATGATTACAATAACAAATTAGTACATTTTTAATAAAATCTTAAATTCAAATGAAAACTCCTCGATACAAAATGATGTACTCCAAAAAATCAAGCCGTTTGTGAGCATCTATTTCTGCCATCAACATTGACTTACAAATAAATGGACGACGGGTCTAATACAAAAACCACGAAAAAAATGTCCCAAGTCAACCTATTCGAAATTTAAATTGTAATGTCATCGCAGTATCGCGCTGTCTGTAGAACAAATGAAGACTAAAGCGGAGTGTCGCGCTTTGTATACGATTTTAGCGCCTTACAAGTGCGGACACTTTTTAGCGTGGACCCGACGTATAATACATATAATTGTAAGTCAATGGCCATCAAGCAATAAAGTGAGCATTACTGCGTTCCGGTTTTGAAGGGTAAGGGTGCTGGTAAAATTACAGGCACGTGAGACTTGTCAACTTATGTCTCAGAGTGACTGGCGCAGTGCCCCTCAGATATTTGTAATTTAAAGCTCTGAGTGGCACTGCAATCGTCATGGACAGGTATGTCGCTTACCACCAGACGTACGACTTATTCGTCCCGCCTTTTGAAACCGTAAAAAAAAATCTAAAAGCTAACTCGACGAGATCAATTCACTGAGCCCAAACGCGACAGTTCTGTAAATAGGTGAAGTTTTGGGTAATCTGCAGACCGTCCTGGATGAGGCATCAGATCAAGGACCATATTATTGTAATGTCATCAGATTTACATAGTAACAACTGCCTCCGTGGCCGAACGGTTACCATGCCGGACTGCCACGCAGAGGTCCCAGGTTCGATTCCCGGGTCGGGAGAAATATTTGTATGGCCTACATTTATTTCTCTCGTGAGTTTGGGTGTAATTTGTGATGTCTATGTGTGTGTCCATGACACCCGCGACACAGGATTTCCCTAGTGCTGGGCTAAGTTGAGTGTGTGCGTATTAGTATTAAAAAAATACACAGTATACCAAATTCCAAGTCAAGTAGACAAGTGGAAGAGATTACTGATATTCCTGCACTTTGTTTTTTAATATAGTCGGAGTTTTGTAGAAAGGGCGAAAGCGCCATTTTCACCCTGTTTTAAAAGCAATTAACTTAATTAAAACCAAATTTGATTCCCTAAATAGTAGGTAGCATAGAATTAAAAATATGTTGCACTGTATTATTCGCTGCGCATTTTATTTATAGAAGATAATATTGAATTATGAATAATTGATGTCTAACATCAGCTGTTTGATATACAAGACAGGGTAGTATTTGAATTACTTTTTTTAAATAATATTAAGTGACGGGACGACACACGTCGTGCACAAGTCGTGCGTCTGATGGTAAGCTACATGCCTATTCATAACAGTTGCAGTGCTACTCAGAGCTTTAAATCGCAAAGATCTGAGGGGCACTGTCACCCTGAGACATAAGTTGACAAGTCCCATGTGCCTGTAATTTCACAAGCATCCCTGCCCTTCACAACTGGAAACATAGTAACGCTGACATTACTGCTTGGCGGCAGAAATAGGTAAGGTGGCAGTACCCTGGATGAACTCTTTCACAAGAAGCTTTACTGCTACTTTTAAGGTATTGGACACATATGTATTTTGTATTTCAAATTACTACATAAAACACATTTTGTATTAATTGTTAATACAAAGATCGAACCGACGTCTTCTTGCATACCGGATCGAAGGAATTTTTTCTGAGTGTTCGATCTTTGTATTAATAATTATAACAAACTAGTGGAGTAATTTCACAAAAAATAATTGAATATCAATTCAATAAAAATTTAATTAATACAGTGAATAGCGACATCTCTCGCCAGGACTGGTAGCTGTAAAGGTACTAACTGGGTGATAAATCTGTCATAGATTTCTCATAGATGGCGCTACGACTAAAAAGTCGTTGAAAGACCAAGTACAAAGACACGACGCAAGCACATAGAAAAATTCGTGAGGTCCGTTGGTTCGTTCCGTGGCTTAGTTGGTATAGCGTCTGGCACGGTATGCAAGAAGACGTCGGTTCGAATCCGACCGGATCGAAGGAATTTTTTCTGAGTGTTTTTTCTGAGTGTTCGATCTTTGTATTAATAATTATAACAAACTAGCGGAGTAATTTCACAAAAAATAATTGAATATCAATTCAATAAAAATTTAATTAATACATTTTGTATTGTTTTAAATTGGTATTCTAAATACATTCGTGGTCTGGTTAGTGGTAATGATAGTATATCTTTTGTATTTTAAATAAACAATGATACCACTGTGTCGACAACAACGACACGCCTGTCCAACGTTCATTTTCCGACTAGTGTTCACTACTTAATTTCCGTTGCAATTTTTATTATTTAAATATTCAACATGTTATCTTGTAATTATAAAATAATATTTCACGATACAACACTGGAATATTAAATAATATTGCAAGATTAAAAAAAATCGAATACTTAAATAATAAAAATTGCCACATCCCATGTGCCTGTGATTTCACCAGCACCTTACCCTTCAAAACCGAAACGCAGTAATGTTCTCATTACGTAGGTAAGGTTAGCACAATAAATGTTTTTCACCCAACTGAAACTGCTTGGATAATGAATGGTATAGTGTAAAGGAATTTCTTTTGAAGAAATTATCATTTTATTTCATATTATCAGTCAATCTTTCAAATCTTATATATGTATATCATTTATATATATAAAAATGAGTTCTATACTTTGATATTGTATTGTAAATTGTAATATTGGGAAATTGATAACATGAAATGAACGATTCTATTCTATTTTATTTATAGGCAATTTTGTAGATATTTTAAATGTATGATTTTGATTTGAGAAGTATATTTTTGAAGTTTATGCAAACATGTTATACTATAATATTAACTTTATTGAATATCAAGGTGTTTTACTATTATGACATTCAATTATTTTTGTGAATTAACTCCACTACTTGCTTAAATCATCAATACAAAGATGGAACACAAAGAAAAATTCTCGAACCAGCGACCACGCCATACCGTAGCTGACGGTCTCCCAACTGAGCTACGGAACCAACCAGCAGCTTACGAATTTCTCTGTGTACTTGCTGCAGATAATTGATTTTCTTTGATCTGTGAGAAATCTATAAAAAAAGCTATACTTACTTCAAAAGTATGCACCAACTCAGGGTTATCTTCAACGTCAACAACCGCGAGATCGAGGTTATCCAATGGCTGAATGAGCTCTTTCAACTTCGGAGTAAGAATCTTGCACGGTTCACACCAGTCCGCGTGGAAATTTACTATTACTGGCTTATCATTATTCATTACCTGCAAAATTGTACAGAGTAAATACTAACACCCCTATCGTGCATCAATATTGTATACCATTGCCTCGAACAACTGATCTCTTCAATATAGTATAACAACGGAGTTTTGCAGCAGATCGAAATGCCTCACAAGATTGTTGACATTGTAATAACTAACGAGTTTTTAAAATACAAGGCTTGGCAATTAGGTACAAATTAAAAACTAAAACTAAATTGAAAATTACATATTTTCGTGAATTTTTAAAAGCAATACCTCTCGCTACCCATGAAGAAGATTCACAATGCTTGAAAATTGGTTCAGCATTGACATAAATTTTCTTTTAAGGATACCCTAGCCCAGTAGTGGGATGCATAATGGATTGTAATTGTTGTCCACATTTTGCCTGATGCTTAACATACAACAAAAACAGCTAGGCCATGAATCAGCAAAAGTCATTAATACTACTTAATTACCTTAGTAACAAATTCGTCATTAGTCTTAACTAATATGGTGTCATTGTGTACTACAGATGTGGATATCGCATGCGCCCGTCTTAGGGTCACCAGCCGTCTGATCGGGGACCGCAGTCCTGCACTTATGGCACTACACATAATGCTGAAACAAAACATTGAATGGTTATTATTAAAAACATACAACCACTGCTCGAATTAACGTTTTAGAGCATAATTTCTATTACTTGAAGATACACTATCAGCTAAAAATGTTATTTTAATTAAAAAATTTGCCAGACAATTATTTGGAACAGATAAACCCAAGGTAAAGGTGACTTATCACAAACTCGAATTTGTTTCCGAAATAAGGTTTGTTCGAATTTTCATGCCTTCAACCGCATTGCCGAAAACCGAATTATAATGAAACAGTTGTTCTTTCAGGATATGTTGGATGTTCACCGCAAAGACACAATTAGGTTCGGTTAGGTTCAGTTAGGTTTAAAAGACAAAAAAACACTTTCCTCTCAAAATTACTTTCAAGGTTATGAACATTTGAGCAAACGTTACTTCTGGAAAATTTCATTTCGAACTACTGATAGGTACCCAAGGAAAATCAGTTTTATGATGAACACTCGGCTACAGATATTTCTAATTGTATCCTCATGTTTATCTCAGACTTACACAGGGTCATTTGCAAAATACTAATAACCTTGCGGGATTATTGACTAATACCATAAATATGTTGCTTTTGTACTATCTGACACTTTTTAGATTCATATTGGGTGAGGCAGTAAGTTCAAACATGCAAGGGTCCGCCTTAATGACCCCCACCTGCTACGGTTGTAGTTAATGATGTCAGTAATATAGTACTGCGAGATTACTATAATTTTACAAATAAGCCTGTAAAATAATAAAAATGAAAAATTTGAATGAAGGGCTTTACTAATAGTAAACATAAAAAAGTGACATCTAAAGTGTGTGGAATTTAGTCTATTTTGCCAAGTTCCGTTGTAATTGGTTACCGGAAAGTGAGCGAAACCGGATTCATCCCCTATTTAGTCAAGGAGGTGAAATATTTTCTTCAAGTTTAAATAAAATAGGTCCACTACCGAGGTACCCTCTTTCCAACACAAAAAAGAATCATCAAAATCGGTTCACATTGGAGTTATTGCTTAACATACATACAAAAAACAGAGTCAAATTGAGAACCTCCATTTTTTGAAGTAGGTTAAAAATAATTATATGGCACCACGGCTTCTCTCTTTCATAGTCATAGTAATTCTATTAGATGCCTAAGTACATTTTATTAATATATTGTAACAAAATTGTTTACTCATGATTGGTCATGCTTTATGTACATGTTTAGGTTTACACGCTAAAGTAGAACTAGTAATAATGTTTAAGCTTTTGTTAAGGAGTGAATGTAAACTGTTTTGTACAGCTAATAAAAAAAAAAAAAAAAAAAATAGGATACTATATTATTGCAAGCTTCTGAAAGTCAGCAAACTGTAGTTTAATTTTTGATAATAGTTCTGTTTTGCTGTGTTAAATAAATAATTTTAAATAACAATTGACTCAATCACTTTTAATTGTAACTATTCAAATGTCCTTTAAAGTACAAAACATCGAAAGAAATGTCAATTGCAATCCATAAATTTCATGCAAATAATACAGATATCTACTAACTTCAATTACCACAGCAAACTAAGAGATTGTGAAATGAGATTACAAATCACTTGAGCACTCTTTGTTCACGATAATGATAAGAATAATGTAATTCTTATGCTACTCTAGTGGCATCTTATCTTGTCAATGCCTAGAGTTAGATAATATGTATAAATGAACCCGTAAATGATCTCTAAACAACCAAATAAACAACTCATTGACAGCAAATTATCAACTTACCAAAGCAAACTCAGTGTACAGTACCAATATTTCGCACCTTGCGCGTTTCGACCGGTGTCAAGCAATAATGAATAAAACAATACGCCGCACCAACTAAAACACAAATAAGCAAGAGCGAAAGTATCGCGTAACGAGTAACGAATATTTTATCGTAGAAATTGGCACGCGAATATATAGCGTCGCCCTTCGGTAATGCCACCAAAATAACCGTAATAACCACGCTCACTCCGATCGCCACTCTGCCTATATGATGATTAGTACGCACGGAAACCCAGCAAAGCATCAGCGATATGAACCATATAATTGTCAAAAAGTACACTCCCACTCCGAAACTGGACATTATCATTAACAAATGAGCTTAAATGTTAGGAGGTGCTAAAGGGCGAAAGTTAATTCGATACATGCATGATGTTTAAAGTATTTACGGATTATCACAGGCGACGGCACATATATAAGTGGACGAAACTGTCTGCTCACAAATCGAGTCCTTATTTCATTGGTTTACTTATGTGGTAATTCTAAAACACAAACTTGGTTACTATATCTTATCACTCATACACAAATCCAGTCACAGATCGAAACAATGACCACGGATGACAGCAGCAGCACACAGTACAAAATGAATGACAGTAAGCACTAGCACAACAAAAGTTTGACAGTTTTGTTTGATTTTGACAAATACGTCATCGTTTCCACAAATGACGTCATCCATCCGACATAGACAAGAAATTCTTTTTTAAATTTGTGTGGTGTTTTTTTTTTTTTTTTTTATACATGACAGGCAAATGACTCCACTCCACCTGATGTTAAGTGGAAAGTGGTATCCAAACGCGAAGGAACCTAGTGCAGCGATGAAATCCTCCACCCTGCCTGCCTACATTATGCCTCTTCACGCCTTTTTTACGGTGTGGAACGGGTGTGAATTATAGACTAGAGGATGGTAGTGATCATTAAGATTGGCAGACTTTTTTATGATTTATAGTAATAGTGTAATTTTTAAAAGAGTGTTTTTGAATATTTGAATTTGATCAGTGCTCTAATTCACTTGATATTTGTTAAATTATAACGTACTCATTTAAGGACTATCTAAACACATTAGGACCGTGCCCGAGACGTGGACGGGGCGTACTAAGTTGTATAACCTGCGGGCCCGTCCCGGCGCCGGCCCGGACACGAACACATGTGAACGAGTTCATACAAAATGTACGCAACGATATTTTTTTGAGCCCCTGACGGACCACGACCCGTCCACGTCCCGGGCACTGCCCGGATATGTGTGGATAGACCTTTACGTTACGGTTACTAAACATGCAAAAATAGTCTATGAAAAAAAAAGTGTTAAAAAACAAAAATTGACAGTTTTGTGTAGTTCGATACAGGGACCAAGATGTCAAGCCAGTAAAAATTTATAAGTTCAAAGTGAAGTGCATTTGCCTGCTGTTTTGTTGTCAATTTATTAGAAAGGTGAGTGATTTTTTATCATTTTCTATATTTAATTCTTATTGTGTGCGTTTCAAATATCTCCTACAATCATAATTGAACTGTTTCCAATAAATTTAAATAAAAAATTGGTCGCGAAACCTTCCATATAACCATGAAAATGTAACGCCATTTTCTGCTCGGTACTTCGTCGGAGATATTTTTTTCCTATAAGAAATGTCGCGCTTATTGAGTTTATAGAATTTATATTATTTTTACACTATGAAATACCTATAACTTTTAGTTATACGGGTAAAGTGGTTAATTGTGAGGCATGTTTGTATAAAAATATGATGTTGCCGTGTTTTTATTTTGTGTGGATTCTTCGGCTGTCTGTGCGGATTTGATGACTAATCCTTCGCTAACAAGGTCTAATGATTGCGGCCAGAAGTAAAGGCCGAACGCGCTGTATTGTTGTTTTAATGTCACTGACCTATATGAACCTTTTATGTATAGTTTAGTCGTACATGCCTTTGCCCCAGATTTATAGCTCTTCCTAAGTTCAGTTCAGTACAAATGTACTGCTGATAATGAGAATATTACAAAATTTGCTCCACATGCTTATTTCACACCTACCAATTTGTTTATGAAAGTAAGACAGTTACCTAAAAATTTTAAATATCAACCTAGCTAAGTATTTTTTATTTAGATAGAAATGTTTTATTTAACCCTTAATCAAACAAAGGTAAATTATTTATCACTTTACTTTTTAAGTAATTAATTTACTTTTAATGAATTACTTACTACATTTTCAAGTTCTCAACGTATAATGGTAAGATATTTACTATGAAAAGAAAATGTCATGTTGCCTTTGTTAAAAAAAAATACCACTAAGATATAATAACCGATAAAGTATTTTAATAACTGGCAATTTATCTTACCATCGTGAAATCGTCACAATCAACAGAGCCATACATTTAGAAAACTCGAACTTGACTGAATGGACATGACATCTATGACCAGGAACTATTGCAACATTTTATAGAGATTAAGCCTCACATTGCTTTTAATGTTAGTTACTTTTTAGTCCTACTTAATTAGGGCTATCTCTTGTGAATTCCCAGTTTTGGAAATACCGGGAAATTCCAGTACTGGCGAGGTGCAATCAGTCCAGGTACTAGAATTATAGATTCCCAGTACTCTTGGTTTATAGCAAGGAACTACTTACCTATTGAGCTATGAGTTCGTCTCACGTGCAATTATAATGCTACTTGAACTTATTACAATCTACAATGTGATTTTATGATAATATGTTATGTTCAATTTAATAGTAATTAAAAACACAGTAAGTAAAAACTTTTTGCTTTGATTAGAGAATGAAGTTTTTCTATATTAATTATGGTATTATGATTAGGTAAATTATTGAATAGAGCCTACGAGAAAAAGCATACTTACTGGTTACAGTTTAAACTTTAAAAAAAAATATGGGGAACACTGGTAGTACCGGTACTAAGCTGAGCCCATTACCGGGAATCAAAGTTTTAGGAAGCAGACTGGTTTTGCTAGCCCTATACTTTAGTGGAATTTTGACAACTAAAAGATTGCCTGTAATTAATATTTATTTAAAAAAAAAAAGAGTTGGGTTAGTATTATTGTTTGCAACAAGTATTACAAACCAATTTTTGCTTATTTTTTTAATGTATGTCCTAAAAGTACTACAAACCCTTAACATGACATATAACATTGACTAAGAAATAAGGCCACATTTCCTGTGACTTTGTAAGCTTTGTACAACAAACCTCACTATGATGTCATAAAGGTGTGCTAGTGATGACATTATATATATGGAATTGAATCAGATTTATTATTATCTAAGTAAAAATTATTACTATCTATTTATATTGCATTTGTTTTGTGCTGAAACTCTTTAATTCTGATATAAACCTATTTAGTAAATTATTTAAATAAAAATATTGTTTTGCTACATTTTACTGCTACTACCTACATCATTTTATTATTTTCTAAAATTAATTTTACTAGTCTTATTTGCTAAATAACATAAAATCACATTGCCTCTTGTAAAATAAAATGTAGGCAATCCAGTAAAAATTGCAATTTTTTAAAGAAATATCCATAGCGTCACGACATTGCAAGGCACAATGCACTGCGCACGCGCAACTTGTCCGAGGTCACGGTCGATCGCGCACCGCTGGATCTCGTTTCCGCGACATACGACATTTTAGTGCCTCTACAGGTTGGCAGGCATCTCTTGGAAAATATTTACGTATTTAGTAGCAGTAGATCTCCTTGTGAAAGAGTACGCCCAGGGAAGTACTGCCACCATACCTGTTTCTGCCGCCAAGCAGTGTGTAATGATGAATGATGATCTTTGTGAAGTTCTGAGTGGGACTGCAAAAGTTACAGACAGACGTGTCGCTTACCACCAGGGGCATGGCTTGTTCGTCCCGTCACTGAAGAAAAATTAACAACGTACAAAAAATTAACCCGTTTAATACGCCAATGACGCTTTAAAGCGTCAGTGAATGTATGATGAATTACGACCTTCTAATTTTCAATTGAAATTAATAAATAAATAAATATTAAGAGATTACTTGTGTTATTTGTGTATTCTAGTTAAACATGGATTCATAATTGCATTTTATGTTCAATTATGTTCTCCTTTAACTTAGGAGAATTAAATTAATTTCATAACATTTCACATCACTATATCGGCTTGGCGTCTAGGGAACGAAACTAGTTTGTCATTGGCGGTCAAAAGATTAATGATTATTTTGGACATTTCACTTTTTCTAGTGTTGAATGAATTCATGATGAATGATTTAACCTTTTCTAGTGTTCTCCTGTGTGCCGGGGCGTGTGTAATGTACTGACATCATATACCTAGACTGAAACTGGCAATAACTCGTCGCAGTTGACTGCTCTAGTGCTATTTGTGCTCATGACCGTTTTGTTTTTACATAACGTGTTCCGACGTAGCTCCTACAGTCTCTCAATGCTGTACTTGTAGTGATTCGCCTCCTATCTGAGGTCATTTCCGCTTTTTACGTTATCAATGGCCTCTATTTTTAACCGACTTCAAAAGAAGCTCAATTCGACTGTATTTTTTTGTGTATTATGTGATTAAAGGGTTAATCACAATCGGTAGGGACCGATTTGTGATTTGTGTTATTGCATTTCATCCGTCTTTACGTTAACCGAATTTAATAAAATTTGGCAAACAGAAGGAATTGCAGTGAAAGTTATGAAGACCTAGAGCTGATCTGATGATGGAAATGGCAGACAGATGAGAGGAACTCGTCAATAGTGTACAGCAGCTATCTTGTGTTTGGGCTCATTCGTTTTGACGAGAACTTCCATAATATTATGCGTTCAGTTATCGTTGAGGAGACCACATATTATAGTATTTAATTGACTTTCATAATTATTGCTGTTATTTTAATTGAACATGTATTGAAATAAAATTAGAACTTAGGATGTTTTGTGTTTGTCTACATGATGTCTACTGACATTATTTGTAATCTAATCAATGAATTCAATCACTATAAGTATAATTTTGCACGCCGATTGTGGTCAAATATGAGCTGTACTGTGTTCTATCTCTTATTCCACCATATTGTAAGCAAATAAATTTTCATTTCATTTCACGATATCGAACACAACGAAAGCGGAGCTAACTTTTGACATCTTTTTTTAATTAACAAGTTATAATTATTGTTGATATTTACAATGACAAAAGTGTTCAATCATCGTCGTCAACATAATCACACACCTCTTCTAAGAAGAGGGTTGGCAAACACACTGGTCCAATATAAGAAGTTTCTACGTTTTCGAAGGGTTACATCGCGATGGTTTTCGAGTTTTAAGGCTGCTAACAGATTGACTGCGTGTTTGCAGTTAATGCGTGAAGTCGTAATCAACTTCATGGAGCCGAGACACCGACTGCATGAAGTTGATTATGACTTCACTCATTAACTCTCGGCTGCATGAAGTCGGTATCGACTGCATGAAGTTGATTATGACTTCACTACTTGCGATTAACTCCCACTAACTTCGCGGTTCGTTCCGCAATCGCAACGGTTTCGTGCCCGCAACTGCGGCGGCTACGTGCCCGCACAAACTTGCAGGGTTGTGAGTATTGAAATAACCGCTGTCTAGCAGCA